GCAGGATCCGAGTCAACTCCTATATCATTGCCTCCGACCTGCAAAAAAAGCACCTGAGGTCGAAACGTCTCTAAAATATTAATATAACAAGGTTTTTACAGACATCTTTGACCCGGTCGGACAGTTCCACCCCAATTCCTTTAAAACAGACATGAAATTGCCCAGCATCTAGTGATAAATTTTTCCATTCTCTGTGAGATATGATAAATTCGTCAAGACGACGAATGAAGAAACGACCAAAAGCTAATACTCGACAGGTCATAATGAATGCAAAATAAGTATCAAGATTAAAGAACAAATGTAAAAGAATTATGGTTCGCCTATACCTTTTAAATCGTCCTTGCAGCTAGCAGCCAAATCAAGGAATGCCACGAACGACGCAGACCCCTAGGCCTGGAAAAACCCAGGGCGACATCCACAAAAAACAATTAAAAGCGCGCATCCCTAGGTATGCAGAATGATGCAGAGTTAACTGCGGCTGACAGCTAAAATTTACCCGCATTGAGTGATGTTTTATTTCCGGTAATTAAGTACACGTAAAGTCTAGATGCTTAAGTTGAATAAACAAATATGACAAAAATACAATAAAAAACTTATGTATAATCTTGTTGTCATAAATTATTTTATATTGTTCATAAAATCAATTATACTGAAACGCAAAAGAAACACAACAAGCAGTAATCTACAAATATTTCAATTTTTTATTTAATGATTTTCAAAAATGAATACAGTAAGGTAAAACTCGCTTTAAAAACATCAGAAATTTGATAAAAATGTTAAATGATTATCTTTTAACATTAGAAAAAGTAACACTTGACTGCTAAAAAAACCCACCCCGGCCATTCAATTACAGCGTGCAAGACTGCCATGCACAGCAATCGCAGCTTGATTTCTACGATGCAGTTAGTTCATCAATCTTGAGATCTGAGCGAAAGAAATATTCTTTGTCATTTTAGATGCCTGTTTTTCAGATGATGAGGTCGAATTTTCTCTAGCCTAGCGCAGAGAATTAACCCTTGGAATTCCGGTCCAAGGACTGTCATTCATTCTTATTATATGTAAGAGCCTGTTGAGGCGTGATATACATGTAGTGCATATTTGCATCTGCAACTCTCTATCACCTTTATTTTGAGATTTTCCTGCTAGAGCAATGGAAATGCGTACATAAGTCATTTTCAGGAAGCCTTGGCATCGCTTACGGAAAAGAAAGAAGAATTGATTTTTCGGAATAATACTGCATTACTTATAATGAACAGATACAAACCCTTAAAACCCCATATTATTGCCAAATGTTTTCCTAGACATGCAATTTGATTTCTGTTAAGCGGACTCAAACTTAACTTCCGGTAATAGAATGAAAATCATTTACCGTTAAATTTACCGATATTTACAAAGTTGAAGATGTCCTTACTTTTTAGATACAAAATTATATCCTATATATACGAAGGCCGTTCAAAAATTACGCGGACTTGTTGCACAGAAACTATATTTGACGACATAATCAAGCAAAAAGTCATAAATAATATAAAAGAATCTTTTCATATATGATCAACAAAATTTCATATCAAAATATTGTAAATTGATATCAATTTCAAGTTATTTAACAGGACATCTCATGAAGTCACGGCGCAGTAAAACTTTCAACGTCACGGGCATTTTTAAAAAAAAAATGGGAGCTTTCATTTTCTCAATATTTTCCCTTAGTATTTGATACTGTATAGTTTTGGTTACCTTATCCACTCTGAATAAACATCCATATACAATTTCCGATTCAGCTTAAAAACTATAAAACTATCATTGTGTGTTTTAATTTATGTTAAAACCCCATTCTGAAGTAAGGTTTGACATCAGTCGATCTCAATCACATTCTTAACAGCCCAGATCAGTGTTTTGTCGATGAACTTCTTCCATTCCTCCCGTATTGCCTTTTAACTAAGGTCTATCAGTCTAAAATTCTTTTTTACATTTTGTAGAGATGTGTCGGATATTCCGCTGGTTTACGTTTCATTAGGATTATTCTGGGTGTCTATTGGCGTTTTCCCAGCATGATTCATGATTTGATAAAAGTGTGCTGCTCCGTCAAATCACGAGACGTCATTTTTGCAGTTGATTTTGTAGGGGTCACATCGGAGAAAAATTACAATATTTCTGTTAGTGCTTCTAATATTACACCAGAAATCTAAACACTTAATAATAAAACAATAAAAAGAATTTTTAGAGAAAATTGTTGAATAATATCGTGTAATATGGAAAATAAATGAATAAAATTTTGGATACCGCATGTTTGTTTTTCAACTTTTTTGCCGTGCTCCGTATATCACCATCAGCAGTATCAAAACGGCAATAATTTTATGAGATATTAAATAACATCAAAAATTTTTACCAAGAATTTATTGGAATTTTTAAGCAATATGTTCCTGTGAAATTTCAATTCTATATGACGTCTGTAAGAGTAAATAATAGCAGAGTCCGCGTAATTTTTGAACGGCCCTCGTAGTACATGTATTTCCCCCTAAAATAGGATGTTGCGTTTCTTTTGCGTTTCAGTATATAATCCTAACTATTTCGGATAAAGTTCTTCTGCCGATGGTTTGATTCTTCTTAATATCTTCTACCAGAAATAACAAGACTGTTGATACAAAAATGAAAGTTGAGAACGCTTTTTTTAATTTGAAAATTCGAAGCGAGAGTATATTGTTTTAAAGAAGGAAAGAGTACATATAGTTGGTGTTTTTATCATTTTTGATGATGAAATGTAAGTGTTTATTGCAAGTTGACAGAGTACTTCAGCCGATTGAAAGGTGCAGGAGAGACACTATTTACATGAGATACACATGAATTACCATTTCATAAGGAGTTACGACCGCCCTTTTTATTTGAAAATGTCAAATTCTTGCATCAGTGTGAGCTACTTAATATCGGAAAAACGGTATCTTGAGTCTTCAGCTGTTAATAACTCAAAATCCAATGGGTTTTTTTGGGGTGGGTGGGGGTGGGGGGGGGGGGGTGAATATGTTGAAATTTTGGTGTTCGTGTATATTCATCATGAAATGTCAAAGATTTGGCATTTCTGAATTCGTATGGGTGAAACAATTTTATAATTAATAATATCTCACAAACTTTATTAAACTTCATTAAAGTTCGGAGTGTGTTTATCTTGAAGAAAAATTTTCTAAGGAGATATCAACCTTATTTTCAAATTAAATCTTATCTTCAAAAAATATAAAACTCGCATCCATATCACAATGAAACTCTAAGGTTTTTAATACAAGCCTTAGAATTATTCTTTTATATAATCTTGATAGATCAATTTTCTATCAAGGTTCCATTTTTTTCACTTTGATTATTTTCACATATTGTGAAAAATTAACATATATGAAGAACATCAGCTGACCACAAATGACGCCACCCAGACGGAAAAAATATATACCAAATAAATAACAGGTAGTCAAAATGCAAATAGCCTGTAAAAATTGTAATATAAACTTCTTCCTATCCAAAAGATCTCCAATTTTTTTCTGAAATAGCTTTGCACAAATGTAGATCACAGAATGTATTTTGGAATTTAACGAAACCTCGCTGGCATCTGATACCAGCTCTGATGTTTTCAGAGACCCGTGTTTACTCTGCTCTCAGTTTGTAATGCTTAGTTAGATTTCTGTGCTTTATCGTCACTTTTCACAATTCAATTAAAAAGAACTACTTCGCCGTCTTAAAGATCTTGAATTCAATTTTATTGAAGAAATCTAAGAACCACAAAGATGTATATTTTTTAATTTAAAAAAAATCGGAAAATGTAATATCCCAGAAATCAGCTGAACTCCATTTTGCTAGAAAGAACAAGTTCCTTCTTCAAGTTTCACCTCATCAATTGCAATAGCTGCCCCAGAATAAGATGTTTTCCCTTGTAACACCTGTAACATACATGCATAAGATAAATGGTTTGCACTGCTCTATATAATATGTTCACAACATTAAAAAGAAAACGGGGGAAACATTCTAAAACAATTGAAATATCATAAGAGAAATGATATAGTAAAAATTTACCGTTTCAATTATGCTTACCAGTGTGTATCCGGCGATCCCTTGAATATTCTGCCATCTACCAGACCAGTACTGAGTAGGTGATTGTGTATAAAATAGGATCTGTTTATCGTTAACATTTGTTGCTATGAACATCTCCAGAAAACCAGAGGAAAGATAGTATCCAAATGTCAGACAATAGACTTTTTCTGTAAGGTATAATAATGTGAAAGTTTAAGATATTAATTTTGATCAGAAGTCCATTAAATATTTCTATAATGCATTTTGAGCACAAAGAAGTCCGTAATGCCAAATATATATATACTTCATTGCTAAACATTTTTGAAGTACAACTAAAGTAATGTCTTCTCTATTATTTCAGTTAAACCTCTCGAATTGAAGTCAATAGAAACATAGTTTTCGTTCATCAAAATTATTACCTTGCAAGAACCCGTTTGGTGTGGCAATATAGAAATATTCGCCATTATTTGAATATGCATAGCTCGACGTTCCTGCATAGCCTTCTGTAAGCTGTGGTATCTGAAAAAATAAGTATATGCCAAAACCTATATCATAAGTAGAAAGAAGACTACAAATATGTGCTATTGATGACAATTAATGCTTAATAAATTATACTTTTATAACTATTATATTAATTGGAACTTTGCTCCTGTTACGAAAAATTCTTAATTTCAATTGTTAAACTCGAAAAGAAAAAAAAAACAAAACTATTCAGATAATTCATAATTGATCATATACAAATATTTACCTTTCCAATCATCAAATTTCCACTTTGCATCCAACAGGTGGAATCCTCGAAATTGCATAATCTTGATAATGAAGTCTGTGTAGTTGTAGTTGTAAAATGTTGTGGTGTTATTTGACTTTCTGGAGCTGTACAAAGATAATTAAAGTGTACACTTTAATAAAGTAACAAGGACTGTTGCAAAATAGGTCTTTTTCAAACATTTACTCACTTTCACAATTTGGACCCGTCCATCCTTGCTGACATCTGCATGAGAAACTGTTCCCTACCATGCTACATACTCCTCCATTTAAACAAGGATTTGTTTGACAGGACTCAGACGCAATATTACAAACAGTCCCACTCCAACCTTGAGCACATTGGCACTGAAAGGTTGTGCTAATAACTGAACACACTCCAGAATTGAGACAAGGATTCGGATCACATGGATTACCTGTTGAGCCTTTAAGAAAATATTTAAAAACCTTATATTTTAACATCAAAGACAAAGAACAGTACGTTTTCACGTGGAAACATGAACTTTTTTATATCTTAAACTAATTATGTTGGTTGTTATTACCTCCTACGGTTTCAACAAGAGGCTTGAACCTTTGATTTTGACCTGGTTGAACGTTTCTGGAAAGTCTGCTGTCAAATTTCAGAATCAATATATTTCTTTCACCGTCATTGGTTGTTATAATCTGCTGTTGTTGTTGTTGCGTGTTGCAAAGCCTGTCAAATGTCTTCGAAGTATGAATAACTGCTTTTTTTGATAATATCGCATTGAATGGGGAAACATTACATACTTTTTGTTTGGACAAACAAATAATAAAATCTTGATTTAAAACGCAAAGAAATATATGACATGTATTTCAAATATAAGTCTATTAAAATCAATGCACTAATTGTACCTTCATTCTATTGTACAAATTAAATGAGTTCTACTATAGACGAAGAAGAATAAAAGAATGCATGGACGTTTATTTAAAATTATGCAACGGCACCTGATGCCAGTTTGTCCGGGCATATTATACCGAACTTCTAACCAGTGAAGACATTTAGACTGTTGTGTATTTCTCGCCAGGTCTAATTCTTGGAGCGTCACCCTTATGTTGGAATTAGACGGACCCTACAACAAGCAACAAAAAGAAACCTTCAATAATCTGAAGCAAATATTTGGCGTAAAAAATATTCTTCCTTGACCTCTTTGAATTTAAAGTGAAAATTCTTACCCTTATAAGCCACAGGCATACGGTGTCTGTATGGTATGTGTTTGGATAGTTTGGAGATTCTATTATTTCTTGCTGTCCAGCTTGTAAATTGTATACTCCTCCACAGCCTAGTAATGGGAAAAGGAAATCAAACATTGATATGCAAAAATAAAATATATGTATATAAATTATGAGATACACTGTAATAATGATTTAAACTAAACATGACGTCATAAACAATTACGTTAAGAACATTTCGTCAAGGGAAAGAATATTAAAATAAGCATTGATTTGAACTTCTACTGCGATGCAATATCATACAAACCAGAATCAGATGTAACTTGATCGCAAGTGGCTCCCGTCAAACCATTCGGACAAACACACTGACACTGTGAACCAGCAAACCCTCCATTTCTACAACTTGGTGGATTCTGGCAGTGTTCTAATACAACAATTTACAATTTCATTCTCAGAGCAGACTTATTAAAGTTTAATTTTACATGCATTCCAATAGCGTGGTAAATGAAATAAAACTTTAAAATGATGGAATTTAGTAGTTTTTATTTGAAGAAATTTTTTTTTGTTATATTATAATTTTCCCGTAGCAATTTAGCTTTTTCTGGTTGCTTTTGAGGGGTTTTCTGGATACTTGTGAACATAGAAGTATTAATAATATCTTTCCTTTCTAATGAGATACGATACTTGTACCTGCACATTTATATGCAAGATTAATTTCTTTGACGTCACTATGTGTAAATGTCTTAGAAGACCCTACAAGTGCTTCCAGCCTTTGGTCTTTGAGTCTCATTGTTCGTTCACCATTGTTGATAGCCCCTGCCTGTCAGAAATCGTAAAAATATTTCAGTAAAGCATCTAACTGTCATCTTCTTGATTGAAACCTAATTACATGTATGTTTTATATACATTTACGGAATTAAATTAATAGACACTCAAGATATATATACTGCATAATTTGTGTAAATGCTTTAAAGCAGTTTGCTAAGAAAGCCTGAACTGTTTCAAACCATGTCATACAAGTATAACTTGGGTAGCTGTTAAATTCATTCTTTATAATTAAATCCGTTGTTATGCAGTATAAAGATTTTTTTCCTTCAAACGAGGGAAAACCATGTCATTGAAAGGTACACATCACCAGTTATCGTTAAAGAATGGGTTATCTTAATGGATAATTAAAAATCGCTATTAACTTATGCTATGTCAAATGTATTCGGCTTTTTTTCTTACTCTATCAACTGAAAATGGATATTTTAACAAAAATCTCATTCATTGAACTCAGAAGTTTTCGTACATCAAGAATGTATTGCAGGATTGGCTCAGCATCGTATGGCGTCCGATCGTATGAAGTTCTCTGTGCAAAATTTATGTTGTAGGTATTCCATTCTATTCTGTTTCGATACACCTCAATGTATCTGTCTCGGTCTGTTCTCTGCTGCTCGTGGGTCTGTCCAATGGTATGCATCATTTCATGTACAGTATGACAATTTCAACCTAATTAAAGCAAAAATATAAATATTAAATTTTGTTATAATAAAGGTAGTGGAAACTTATAATTTTTCTCAATTGAAATCAGTGCGGATAATGTTTTCTGTTGAAAGAGTTTTTAAAATCTTGTCTTTCATATATTTTTGCCACTGATGAATGTCCTGTAATAAAAGAAAGAAAAAAATAGTGGTATTTACGTTTGCACAAGACGGGTCATTTAGATTAATTGGTTGTGGTTGTCCATTACTGAAGGACCTGTCTCGACCAAGATATGCCTCACAAATTCTACGGCTAAATAAAACAAAACATTACAAGGACCATGAGTTACAATTTTTATTGTCTAAGTTTAACATAAATATTCAAAACTCATACCGAATTCAATTGAAACTGCTTATAAATCAAACACGGTTATTTTACAATTTAAAAGGTACAAGATTCTTGAATGTATGTACAGTACCGACCGAACACAACCTAACACCAGCGCGAACCAAAAGCGCACCCCGGGTTCGCTTCCTGGGTTCGCTCGGGGTCCACTGCGGGTCCGCTTTCAGAAAATTTGGGACCGCTCTGGGTGCGCTTAGGGTTCGCTGTGTGTTCGCTCGGGGTCAGCTCTGGGTCCGCTATAGCGAACCCGGCGTTCGCTTTCCGGGTTCGCTTTACGCACTCATGCGTGAAGCGGACCCCGCTTTAATCTTGCCGCCAGTAAGCCCCGCCCCTTGTATATTCCAAATACAGTAGTGAAATCGATCATTACTGTTTTTATGGCACTCGAAACATGTACATATAAGTGACAATATGGAGAACGTTGATAAATTTTCAAGAATTTCACCATACATTCGACGTAGAATTATCACTTTTATTTTTCTTAACTTACAAGCTAAGTATATCTCGAAAGAAAAAGAAGAAAAGGTGTTAAATTTATTTTCGATCTATCGGATGGAGTGAAATTGATAAGAGTATCTTAATTAAAAAAAGCTTTCAAATTCATTTGTTTACATTATTCATGCGTTTTAAAATAAGTTGGAACTTCCAATTGTAATTGCAATTGCTAAATCGTAATTTAAATGTTTGAAAGACAAACAACTGAATTATGATCTTATCTATGAAATAGCTGAGACATACTGTACACGTAAAATGCTAAGTTTTTCATATTTATCAGTTTATATTTAAGCTAGGTTGTCGTCCATTACATGTGTTATGTAGGTCGTGATAATCACTAAAAATTCTCATACAGTGTAACTTGAGAAATGATACAGATCATTTATAATTCACTTCCATGCCAATCATTGTTTTATAAGGCGAGTTTAACGGAAGACTTATAAAAAAAAACAACAACTACAATCATAAAACCAAAACAAACAAAAACAAATAACTGGTCCACTGATAGGAATTTATTTTTTTTTAAGTTGTTATCAAATACATGTAAATGATCACTTGAATAGTTTGTGTTCCTTACTGGTTCATGACCCCCCCCCCCCCCCGGCTCCACTACATACATGTACATACTGGAGCGGCATGTTAACAAACAAAATTCTAAATGTTTAAAAATAAATAAACACAAGACAGAAAACAAACAAAACAAGAATTCAATATTCAATAACTGTAAACTTGCATGATAAAGTAGATGAAATTAAGATAATAACGCCCAATTTTTTTTTTTTTTAATTTCGATGAGCCCCTCCCCCCCCCCCCTCTCCGTACTCGAATTGTTTTCTATGGACCGGTTGTAGCAATTTTAATTTCAAATAATATACAGTGTTCTCTCTCTCTCTCTCTCTCTCTCGTAAAGCTTTTTTTATTGATTTTCAGCATTCAGGTGGCAGCAAATTACATGAACATGTACTCCTCATGCAACGTACCAAAGAACTATGACGATTCCAAATTAAAAAAAAAATAATAATAATAATTGGATTTCTCATTGATAACGTGCCCAGACGAGGTAACTTAAGGGGCATCGAATGTAGGGGGAGAATATACTCAGGTATACCGTGACCATGGAGACAGTATACATCAAGCTAGCATGTGTCAATTAAATAAACACACCGCAATTGCTCTTAGGACCCGAAATATTTTCGAAACAGGTGGATGATTACCGACACGTAATGACCTTGGCTTCACTTTCAAACTATAATTATTAAGTGTTAAAATTAAATAATTATGACAATTACAAAGTTCAAATACAGGTACCTATGTAATGAAAAAAATATATGTATGTTTTCGTATTTACGTATCTTTGCAAGTTCAATTTACTAATTTTGGAATTACGTGTACTTTTCATGCATAAGTACAGAACGTACCAGTCTAGTATTTTTTTATCCATATAAAGTATTTCGAAAATTACATGTAGTACATGTAAGAGGTTCGTGAACATGTAAACCTGTATAATTATATATATCGACACGAAGGAAAGTGATAAACATTTTTGCGGTTTTTTTGACTGACTTGCAAGTAGTTACAAAAATTCAAAAACATACAATGTACAGTGTAATGTCTACATGTAGGATAATTAAGATTGTCAAAATAATCTTTCCCTTTATACATGTATTTAAATCAAGCCATTTGTTAAATTTTGGTAAAAGATTATGAAAAAAAAAATATCATAGTAGTTAAAAATGATTTTTTTCCCCTCCAATTTACGTATTGACATAATGCACATTTATACTTTACAATGCACATTTAATTTTTTTTCATGATCAATTATTAAGATCGATAATTTCGATGTTGATCTGGATAAATTAAAACGTGCATGTAAATTGAAATTATGAATAAAAAATAATTAAATTAAAGCACGTACATGTTCTTATACTGTATCTTGAGATAATAAAGTTCAATAATTTATCGAAGACCAGTTTTTTTTTCTTTTTTTTTTAGTAACACTTGTTATAACCATTATTATCTTCTTTTTTTTCTATTATGAATTAAAGTACTTATTGTCTGATAAATTTACGCAATGCATATTTATATATTAATGGATTTTAAAAATATAAAGAAAATAAATATGTAACTATACATGTAACATGCTACCTGGATAATAAAAATATATAATGTATTAATAGATTTAAAAAAAAAAATAAATAATGAAAATAGATGTGTAAATATTGCAAGTTGTCTGGAGAATAAAAATTTATAAATGTAAAATCATGTTTAAAAATCATATTAAATAAATAATATTTTTACACTGTAAATTCACACGCTTTGCTTGTACAGTGTTTAGATTTCAAACTGGCATGTTGACTGGTCGATGCGCTGATGGTCAACGCATTTTATCACTTAATTATCCTGATTGACAGACCTGTTCGGCATGTTGATTGGTCGACGCGCTGATGAGTTAATCGTTAATCCTGATTGACAGCTCTGTTACGCAACACCGAACGCGCGTTCGCTTTCTGGGACCGCTACTGAATTTGGGGTTCGCTTTCAGCGTTCGCTCTGGGTCCGCTCTGGGTTTGCTGCGGGTTCGCTACGGGTGCGCTCCGAGTTCGCTCGGGATCAGACCTAGCGGACCCCAAGCGAACCCGAAGCGAACCCAGAGAGCGAACCCGGGGTGCGCTCTGGGTTCGCTTTCTGTTAGGTTGTGTCTGGTCGGTACTGTAGTTCTCCAGCAAAAAATGGTTTTGATTTTTCACCTGTCGGGCTGGAATCGAACATATTGATTATGTGGAAGTGATGGCGCTTGATTTCGTATAATCCATCTAATACATGTCATGTCTGAGAACGCCTGTAGTGCTGATTGTATAGCATTTTGCATCTCTGGACTGACTACAGGTAAAACAAAACAACAAAATACATGCAATCAAATTTTATACATGTGTGTAAGCCGGAGTCTACCGGGGGAATCATTACTTAAGATAGCAAGGTACAATGCAATAAGGTTAATGCTATATACATCCAGGCTAGATTTCATATGGAATGATTTTGTTCTCCCACAAAATAACATCTGTCAGGAAATTTCTTTTCCTCTGAAAATTAGAAGAATGATATCAACGGAAACAAAAAATGACACTATACAAATTTAGAATAAGATGATTTGCATAAAAGAGATTTAGAAGATTTTCAATCAAATTATATTTATCGCATATTGAAGTAATATATATATTGGATATATTTCTGCTTAAGACAAATGAGAGTAAGTAAAACTGTTTGCTAAAACAAAAAAAAGTAATTAAAAATAAACGATAAAAACAAGGAGAAAACCCCAGAACAAAATAAAACATACCCTTGCTTTGCTTCCGATGGACCTGTTAGCCTATCGAAATGAGAACACAAGACAGTCCTTTGTTAATGGATTGGCGTTATTTATATGAAATAAATAATTCTAGTAAGGATTATTTGTTTATATTTCTTTATATTAAGAAAAATCTGCAGTTCAAAGTCATTTCTCAAGGGGACCCCTGATACCTACATTCTCAGGATAATGGTGTCGGTCGTACTGTGCAGCTTGTGCCGATGCCTTCAAACGTGGATTTAATCCCTGAGGCTGAAGCAAGAGACATGAATCAACAAGGTGATATTTACCGATCTAAGTCCAAAATTCCATCACCTAATCGAATCATGATTCTTACTGATGTTTCTTATTCAATAAACTCTTGTTATAATAGCTAATTATTCTTACTGAGTGTGGTCGTCCAAAATCATCGTAAACAATCATGGTCTGTAATAGTTCAGCTATTGGGGAATCTTGGTCAAAGCCATTCTGTGAAAAAAAAAGTAATACCAGCGATAAATGTTTCTCGAGAAGTGAATAAACATATAAAAATCAATTTTACCAGAAAAATCATAATCATTCTAATGTGTAAAATGTTGATTTTATTTAAAGTTTTCCATGGAAGCGTATAAGTCTCCACACATGTTATGTTTTAACTTGTACAATGTCTTATTTTTGGGTATCTTGTAAACATATAAATTGTATAACTTCTCATTTATACACTTATTTTACATTGTGTCTATGTGTTTCTACATAGTTTAAAGCACTTTCTTTTC